CCCAGTCCGTCAGAGTTACGCGTGTCCTCCCCTTCCAGCTGCCCAGGGGAAAAGGCGAGGAGGTTGCTGTATTTTTTTCTCTCTGCTACAACCTGAGGCCCTGTTAATTATCCCACCTGTAATAATAATAATAATAATAATAATAATAATAATAAAATACATTCATACTGGCTAACTCAGTGAGCACTTAGAAGGTGCCAGACACTATCCCAAGACCTACCTGTGTATTAACTCATTTAATGCTCCCAACCATCCTATGGGGTGGCTTCTGTTCTAAGCCCAATATACACATGAGGAAACCAAGGCCAGCAAGCAGGGAAATAGCTTGCCAGAGGCCACCCAACTAGAAAGCCCACACTCTTCTCCACGATGCTACCCATGTTTCCTGGCGGATCTCCTGCTTCATGACAGTGGGGACCAAGTCTATCTTACCCAGCTCAGCTCCTGGCACAGTGGAGAAACTCTGTGAATTTTTTGCTGAATGAATGAATGAGGAGCGAGTGAATGCTGCCCAGTGTAGTGAGCCTACAAAGCTGTTCTTCCCTGCTGTCGAGGGGCCAGGCAGAGGCCTCAGGGGTGGCCTGCCTGCTTCTGCCCGGGAGGCATCTGAGAACCTTGTCCTTCCCATTTCTGTCCAGCCCTCTCCAGGCTGGGTCTCAGCACTTTACTCCCTGGGAAGTTTTCTTCTAAATCTCCCTATTTCTGTCTCAAGCCCAAGCTGTGGTCAGGCACTTGCCATGTTCTCCTGTCCCTAGAGGAAAGATATCCATCTCGCAGCTTCATCAGCTAATCACACCGGGAGAGCTGCCCCCGCCGGCGGGGCCGTGGTGGGGTCTGGTGGCTCCTACCCTTTTCTCCTCTGCTTGGACTTTACCCTGGAGGTTCACCTCTTCTCTTCCCCACAGACTGACCCATTTTCCTGAACTCTTCAAATTCTCTCCCCACCACGCTCCATTCTACCTCCTAAATCTGCCTGCTCCCTTTTCCAGCTACCTATTTATTTCCTTCATCATTAATATAGTTATTTGACAGTCTTCCAGATTGTTCTATTATCTCAAATTTGTGCTGTATGCTGCTGCTCGCAGGAGCTCAGTTCCTCATGTGTTTTATAATTTCTGATGGTGTGCTAAAGCTGAGGATTGTTTTCCCTCGTGGATGGCCCAAGTGGCCTGGGTCGTGAAAGCTCCCTCCAGACATGATTTTACCTTATTTCTGCTGAGACTACTCCCACCACCACCACCACTACTCAATATCCATCCCACTCTGGACCAAAAAATTCCCAAGTTTTGGGGCGCCCGGGTGGCTCAGTTGCTTAAGCATCTGCCTTCAGCTCAGGTCATGATCCCAGGGTCCTGGGATGGAGTCCTGCAACAGGCCCCTGCTCAGTGGGGATCTGCTTCTCCCTCTCCCTCCCTCCCCCTGCTCATGCTCTCTCTCTCTCACTCTTTCTCTCTCAAATAAGTAAAAATAAAATCTTTAAAAAAAAAAAGAATTTCCAAGTTTTGTTTTGTCTGTGGTAAAATATGCATACCATAAAATTTACTATTTTACCCATTTTTATGCATATAGTTCAGTGGCATTAAGTACTTTCACATTGTTGTGCAACCATCCCCACATCCGGTTCCAGAATTTTTCATCTTCCCAAACTGAGACTGTACCCATTAAAAAAGGACTCTTCATTTCCCTCTCCTCCAACCCCTGGAAACTACCATTCTACTTTGTCTCTATGAATCTGACTACTCTATGTCCCTCATGTAAGTGGAATCATACAATATCTGTCTTTTTGTGTCTGGCTTATTTCACTTAGCAGAATGTCTTCAGGGTTCATCCATGTCGTACCCTGTGACAGGATTCCCTACCTTTTGAAGGTTGAATAATATTTCATTGTATGCATAGACCACATTTTGTTTATCCATTGTTCACTGATGGGCGTTTGGGTCCTTTCCACCTTTTAGCTATTGTGAATAGTGCTGCTATGAACATTGGTGTTTCACTCTCTGTCCGAATCTCTGCTTTAACTTCTTTTGGATATATATCCAGAAGTGGACTTGTTGGATCATAATGTAATTCTGTTTAGTTTTTCTCAGTAACCACCATATTGTCTTCCACAGTGGCTGCACCATTTTACATTTTCAGCCTCATGCACAAGGGTGTTAATTTCACTGTATCTTTGCCAACACTTGCTATTTTGGGGGAGTGTTGTTGTTATAATAGCCATCCTAATGAGTATGAAGTGATATCTTATTGTGGTTTTTATTTGCGTTTCCCTAATGACTGGTGACGCGGAGCATCTTTTCATATGCTTTTTGCTCACGTGTATATCTTCTTTGGAGAAATGTCTATTCAAGTCCTCTGTCCATTTTTTAACCAGGTTGTTTGGGTTGTTTTGTTCTTGAATTGTAGGAGTTCTTTATCTATATTAATCCCTTATCAGATATATGATTTCATAGTATTGTCTCCCATTCCATGGGTTGCCTTTTCACTGCTATTGTATTCATTGCTATTATAAATGGAATTGTTTCTCAATTTCCTTTTTGGTTTATTCATTGTTAGTATATAGAAATACCACTTGTTTTGTGTGCTGATTTCATATCTTACAACTTTGCTGAATTTTTAAATTAGTTCTAACAGGTGTGTGTGTGTGTGTGTGTGTGTGTGTGTGTATGATCCAAGTTGTTTTTGTTTTTGCTTTTGTTTTTACCCGGAGACCTGAGCAGATTTCACACTTTGATTTCATATATTCATCTATATTTTCTTTTGTTCCCTTTATTTTAGTGTCACACCCAAAAAAATCCCTGCCAAATCCAATGTCATGAAGTTCTTCCCTTATGTTTTCTTCTCTTGTTTTGTAGTTTTAGCTCTTATGCATAGGTCTCTGATCCATTTTGAGTTGATTTTTGTATATAGTGCAAAGTAAAGGTCCAACTTCATTCATTTGCATGTGGGTATCCAATTTTCCCAGCACAGTTTGTTGAAAAGACTGCCCTTTCCCCTTTAAATGGTTTTGACACCCTTGTCAAAAATCATTTGATCATATATGCAAGAGTTTATTACTGGGATCTGTAGTCTATTTCATTGGTCTATATGTCTGTTTTTTATGTCAATACCACACTGTTTTGATTACTGTAGCTTTGAAGTAAGTTTTAAAATCAGGAAATGTGAGACGTCCTACTTTGTTTCTCTTTCTCAAGATTGTTTGGCATCCTTTGAGATTCCATATGATTTTTTGGGATGGATTTTTTTATTTCTGCAAAAAAAATCATTGGGATTTTGATAGGGATTGCACTGACTCTGTAGATTGCTTTCGGTAGTATTAAGACTTCTAATCCATGAACGTGGGATGTCTTTTCATTTATTCGTGTCTTCTTTAATTTCTTTCAGCAATGTTTTGTAGTTTTAAATGTGCAAGTCTTGTGCCTCCTTGGTTAAGTTTACTCCTAAGTATTTTATTCTTTTTATTGCTATTGTAAATGGAATTGTTTCCTTAATTTCCTTTTTGAGTTATTCATTGTTAGTATATAGAAATACCACTTGTTTTGTGTGCTGATTTCATACCTTACAACTTTCCTGAGTTTTTAAATTAGTTCTAACAGGTGTGTGTGTGTGTGTGTGTGTGTGTGTGTGTGTGTGTGTGTGTGTGATCCAAGTTGTTTTTGTCTTATTCATTGTTAGTATATAGAAATACCACTTGTTTTGTGTGCTGATTTCATACCTTACAACTTTCCTGAGTTTTTAAATTAGTTCTAACAGGTGTGTGTGTGTGTGTGTGTGTGTGTGATCCAAGTTGTTTTTGTCTTTGCTTTTGTTTTTACCTGGAGACCTGAGCAGAGACAAGTTTTCTTGCCACTTTCCAAAGCCAGAAAGCCAGTGAGTAGGCTTTTTCTAGGTCCCCATTCACTGAGAGTGCAGGCTTAAAGGATCCCAGCTCAACCCAAGAGTACTGGTTTCCAACTTCCTGCCCCATGAAGGCCAAGACCTTGGTCCCTGCCTTGCATGGTCATTACAGTGTAAATGCTTGGCCGCTGGGCCTGCTTCCTTTCTAATGCCCTCCCTTCGGAACTCCTGCTGCATCAGCTCACTCATCCCTCTGCTTTTCTGCTCTCTCTTGAATTCAAAAACAGACACATTCTATTTTCTAGATATTCAGAGCAGGAAAGATCCCAGCATCCCACTTCCAAACGAGCACCTCAAGCATATGCATTCATAAAGGGTATGAAGAAGCCAACATTTTATCCGTATCGAAAAGCCCTATTCCAGGATACAACGAGAGTGGGAACCGCCTCAGTCTCTTTTCCCGTGGCCAGGAGTCCTGCCTCCCCCTGGGGCTGGGAGCTGGCCAAGGCCACGCCATGTGGGTAGTTGTTGTCTACTGTTCTGAGTGGCAGGTACTGTCCCGGGCGCCTTACATACATTTGATCTCATTTAATCCTCCTTCCAGCCCTATGAGGTAGGTACTATTACTGCCACTGATCTGATTAAGAAAACTGCCAAAAACACAGCGAGGAAAGGAGCAGAACCAGGATTCAGGTTTTGGTTGGCCCGTCTTTTTTTTTTTTTTTTTTTTTTACCAAATACATCTTGTGTTCCTGCGTCCTTCCATAAGCCAACTACAGCTTCCTCATCTTGCCCAATCCTCAGGGGTAGGGTCCACGTGGTTTCCATCCTCCTACTTGTCCTCAGCACCCAGTGGGTGCGACCTGGGTTACTATATTTTTGCCCCTGAGGACCTGTCCACCACTCAGGAGGGACTGTGGAACGCACACAGCACTTGGCCTGAGCCCCTGTTACCCAGAGAAAGGAGGCTTTTGCCAAGGACTCTGAGGGGAGATCAATGCTGGGAGTAGACTCAACTCTGGTCAGGACCCAAGCACCCAGCCCTCCTGGAGACACTGTGTGAGCTGGGCCAGGCCTGCAGACGGCCCCTCCCACCGCCCCAGCCAGGGTGGTGCTTGTGTGGGAAGGACTTTAAATCCAGCTGCCAGACCCCTGGCCGGGAGAGGCTGAGAGGACTGGCCACCATGCACAGCCCCTGCAGTCCGCTGTTCCTGCTGCTGCTGGCAGCCACCGGGGGCCCCGCCGGTGCCCTCACTGATGATGAGAAGCGCGCGATGGTGGAGCTTCACAACCTCTACCGGGCCCAGGTGGCTCCCCCTGCTGCGGACATGCTGCAGATGGTGAGTGCGGCCAGGGGCCACTCACCTGCCGGGACTGAAGGGGTGCTGGGCGGGCGGGCCCCCCCTTCCCTCCCACCCCCGAGCTGAAGCTACCTCAGAGACTCATCTCTCTCTGGTCAGTGACAGAGACGTTATGTAATTCACAGGTCCCCAGAAGCAGCCCCATTCTACAGATCAGGAAACTGAGGCTCCGAGGGACTTGCTGGTCCCTCAGGGGCTTTCAAGCCGCACAGCTGGTAGAGCCAGGCCTGGGAGCCCTGGCTTCCCACTCCAATGGCCCCTTCCCAGCACTTCCTAAAATGCAGGCGCCCCTCATAGGGGGAACGTAGGAAGTTCCCAAACACCTTGGTGAAGACGGTCTTTCAGATGCCTTCCAAGGCAATGAGGAGAGGAAAGGAGGACAGCAGGATGGGTCCCAGCACTGGCGGGGGGAGGGATGTATGAGGAGGTGGGCAAGACCAGGAGCCAGAAGCAGAGAGGGCTCTGCATCACACTGGCGGGGGGAGGGATGTATGAGGAGGTGGGCAAGACCAGGAGCCAGAAGCAGAGAGGGCTCTGCATCACCCAGTTCACATTCTGTCTTGGTCCCACAACAAGACCTGCGATTTGGGGTGGGCCCCTTAACCTAGTAAGGACTGTCAGTTTTGCATCTGGAAAATGGGGTCACCATTAGAGATACACATGGGCTACATCCACATGGGCTGAATCGCCCAGATAGAACACTGGCAGGGGTGGGGGATGAAATCTCAAAAAATATATATACAGGAGGGCATATTTACATAAGGTTTAAAAACATGTAAAAACTACTACACAAGTATACTTGTGGGGAGACATGCAAATGTAGTAAACATACCGAGACACGCTTATAGATGACGGAAGCCAGATTTGGGGTGGCGATTTACCTCTGTCAAGAGGGAGAGTTACTTAATGGTACGGTTAGGGGCAGGATGTTTATGCTCAAGATGAAAAGAGGGAAAATCAGGGCGCCTGGCTCAGTCAGTTAAGCGTCTGCCTTCCAGCTCAGGTCGTGATCCCGGGGTCCTGAGATCGAGTCCTGCATTGGGCTCCCTGCTCAGCGGGGAGCCTGCTTCTCCCTCTCCCTCTGCCCCTCACGCTGCTCGTGTGCTCTCACTCTCTCTCAAATAAATAAATAAAATCTTAAAAAAGAGAGAGAGCAAGAGAGAGAAAATCAGAAATTCACCTTGTTCCTACCCCGGCCACCCTCAGGTGCCCTGGGAGGTTCAGGAGCAGCGTCCAGGAACCCCATAGCTAGTGCCCCAGAGCAAGTTCACTTCTGGGGAACACAGCAGCGAGCCTGAGGGTCCAGGACTGGAGTTCCAGTAGCTCTGCTCAATCTGGCAAAGGGACTCTGGGTGCGTCCCTTTACCTTCAAAGGCTTCCATTTCCTGATCTATCACTTGGGACAGGCAATCCCTACCCTGAGGGTCAGACGGGAAGATGTGTGACAAAGATCAAGGAAGGCCTCTAGAAATGCACACGGCACCACCATTTAAACCCTGTCGGCCTGGCAACCAGGAACTGCAGATGATAGATCAGGAGCACTGGATGCTGGTACCAGCTCTGTCAATAGCTCCCTGATTGAGGCCTGGAACGAATTATTGAGCCTCAGTTTCCCCATTTGTAGATCCCTGATGCCCTACAGTCTTGTTGGCTGAGGCTGGGGGCTACCCATCCAGGAGCTGCTTTGTGGACAGAGGTGGACCTTGGGCTGGGGCAACATTCTGGGAAGCAGTTTGGATACCCAGGGGATATGATGCTGTCTGGCGGGAGGTGATGGGAGGAGGGGACGGACTGCGACACCAGGACAAATTTGGAACAAGGCTCAGGCTCAACCTCAGGAGTGGTAAATACAGAAACTCTGGAGCCAGGTGGCCTCGTTCAAATCTTGCTTCTGCCATTTATTAGCTACGTGACCTTGTTGGGTAAGTTACTTAACCTCTCTGTGCCTCAGCTTCCTCATCTGTAAACTGAAGATGATGACAACATAGTAACTCCCTTGTAGGATGGTTGTGAGGGTTAAATGAGTGAACGTGTAGAAAGCACTTAGAAGAGTGTGTGGCATACAGTAAGTGCTCAATAAGTGTGTGATTAACAAAAGAGGGAATGGGTCCAGGGTGAGGCAGGTGGCAGTTATCACGAACTCTTTTCTCTCCCTTAGCTTCCACATCTAATCGTCACCACCTTTACCTCCCAGAAGGTTTGGTTTTCCTTGAATCCTCGTCCCTTGGTACAACCCTGGTCCAGTCTTTCATTACTTCTCCCAAGGACTCCTAGAAGAGCCTCTACCTGCTTCCTCAGCCTCTGGCCTCCGCTGCCAAAATGAATAATCCAACACGTGGGCCTGACCTTGCTCAACACCATTCAGTGGCTCTCACTGGTTCCTGACTGCCTCAGGATAAAGCTCCATCTCCCGAGAAGGCTCTCTCTGTGTGTCTGGCCCCTGCTGACGCCTCCAGCTTCCTCTCCTGCTCAGTTTCTCCCTCAGTATCCTCAACAGTTTGTCCTTCCCCAGCCAAAATCCTGTTTCTCACCTCCATGCATTTGCCCATGCTGTGCCTCCTGTTCTCTCCACCTGACCAATGCCTCAGTTTCAACAGTTAGCTTAGTGCCCCTTCTCCACCCTCAGCTTGGGCTAAATGGCCCTCCTCGGTGCCTCTACACTGCCTATTGCAAATCTGTCATGTACCACATGGTGGCCCAATCAGCAGTTTACGACAATGTGAACTTGGGCTTCTTGGTCCTTGCTCTCAGCTCCGGGCTGGCACGGTGCCTCGGACTGTTGAACGGGTGAGTGTTGAGTGAATGGATGAACGGACTTGTTTTCAGATGGTGACCATGTGGCCAATGTGGGTGGGTGCCGTGACTCTCAAAAATCCACAGGGGTCTCTGGAAGACTGAGAAGACTTGAGACCCACAGGAATGACTCTACTGGTGGGACTCCATGCATCCAGTCGGAATAGGAATCCCAGCCGGGCTCTGTAGGGAGCTGACGAATGTCTATTGAGCTGACGAATGTCTACTGAGCACTTGCTCTGTGCCAGACACTGGGGCCACATCACCATCTTACCCCGAAGGAGCTCACAGTTCAGTCTGGAGCCCTGCAGGTCCTCCCAGACCCCCTGCTCCTGGTCCCCCGCACCCTGCCACCTTCCCACTCCCCATCTCCCCTTACCTGCCAGAGTCTGAGAGAACCTCAGGGAGCAGTGACAAAACACCCAGGGAGGGAGAGGGACTCGCCCGTAGTCACAAAGTGGGGCTGTCCCAGGCCCACCCCAGGCAGCTGCTCCTGAGAACTGTGTGTGGGTGAGGAGCCACACAATCCCCTCCTCTCAGGGTCCCCCAAGCTCTTGGCGCTTTGTAGGCCGTCTGGCTCCCACAGTTGGCTGGGCCGCCAGAGGGTGGAGCAAGTGTTGCCGCCAGGCCTCCCATTGCTAGGAGAGGCCAAGGACAAGGTTTAATGGGATCCAGGCCTTTCTCGTCAATCCTTCATTAATCCCTCTTCCCACCCACGCTGGGCCTGTCCTCCCAGCCAGGGACACAGAGAACCTCAGATGTCCCTTCACTTCACATGCCCTCACCTGAGGTCCCCCCGGAGAACACTGCCTTTGGGATCTGACAGCCCCTTGAGACATGGAGGCTCTGAAAATAGGCCTCTCGATGAGGGTCCCCAGAGACACTTAATCTCCTGGGGGAAAGGGGCTGTCAGTTGACAAGAGTTGAGAGTACTTGGGAGGGAAGCCTGGAAATGGTAAAGCTGTGGAGGCTGGGCGACCCCAAGGGGAGAGTGGGACCTGAGAGGGGAGTGCTGCCCCCCACCAAGTCATATCCATGGTGTGTGGGGAAGGGGGTGGAGGGTGGCAGAATAAACAACGCAGCCCTCGACCATCTCGCAGGAAATTCTGTGGCCTTCAGAGCAGTCAGGTGGCCCTGGGAGGGTAGTCAGGGCACAGCTGCCCTCCCTTTATTAGTATTAATTAATAATAACACCGCCACAAACATCATCTCATTTATTCTTCCCAAAGCCCCATGAGAGTTCAGAAAGGTCAGGCAATCTAAAATCACACAGCTGGTAAATGGTCCCAAGCTTGGCCAACTCCATGGCCTGGCGTGGAACCCTCCCACCTCGCCCCGGAAGCCCACCAGGAGCACAGACCTGTCCCTGAGCATGGCCAAGAGTCACCCCGAAGGAAGGGAGGGTCCCCGGGCTCCAGAGGCCCCCAGGACACCTTCAACCTTCTTCTCTGAGCCCCACCTCCCTCTCCCACCCGCCTCTCCCCGTTTCCACGCGCCCAAGGCGTTCCTCACCTCCCTTCCCGACCTGCCGCGCAGAGGTGGGACGAGGAGCTGGCCGCCTTCGCCAAGGCCTACGCGCAGCAGTGCGTGTGGGGCCACAACAAGGACCGCGGGCGGCGCGGCGAGAACCTGTTCGCCATCACGGAAGAGGGCTTGGACGTGCCGCTGGCCATGGAGGAGTGGCACCACGAGCGCGAGCACTACAACCTCAGCACCGCCACCTGCGACCAGGGCCAGATGTGCGGCCACTACACGCAGGTGCGAGGCCCCTGGGCCGGGGCGGGGGGGGGGGGGGG